GTGTTTCTCTGCTGGGGCAGAGGCTGGCCTAGGCTGGGCATGGACAGGAAGAGGGTGGTTTTGTGGTGGTGCTGGGGGAGGGGGGTGTAGTGGGAATAATGGTGGGTTTAAAGCCGGGCGGGGGTGCTGGGAGATGCCAGGGCAGCCGGAAGATCAGGGAACCCTAGAATCTGCCCCCTACTACAACTAGAGGGGGGAGGGGGAAAGAGAGGACTGAGCCCTGCCATGCTTGTCACTGGGGAACAATTCTACCGCCGTGGAGCCTGGGAGCCAGCCAAGCAGCTGGGACCGGAGGCTGCTTTGGAGACAGGCTTGTCAAACCCACCGGACCGGCTGGGAGAGGGAGCGAGGGGCCAGCCCCAAGAACTCAGGTTTCCGGGTGGGCAGAGCAGGCTCGGCAGAGATGGGAGTTTGGGGAGCGAGTGAATTGGGGCCGTCACAAAACAGTGGCAAGGGACGGGCGAGGGAAAGGGGGGAGAAAACCTCACTAAGGAGCGAGGGAAACCGCAGCGGGAGGGAGAAAAACAAAAGCCCTCGTGTGCCAACAAGCGACCCGCAAGGCTCCACTCGGCTTGTTTCCGAAACCTGTCGCCTTGCCCGAGAGATCAGCCCGTAGCTCCCTCGGGGCTACGATTCTTCGCACCACTCACACGTAAAAGTCCAGTTGGTGGCTCATGCCTGGCTCCCCTTCCTCGGGCGTCTCTAGCTGAGCCCAGGTTTTCTAGAGGGAGGTTTAAAGTCCATCTCTGTCTGCCTGGGGCAGTGAAAGGGGTCAGACAGTCCCTCTGACTGGGGGGGACAATTCCACTTCGGAGAGTCCGACCTGTTCCCTTGTCCCCTCCAGTGTCAGTGAAGGAAGAGCCGGAACCGGAGGTGAGGATGGTCAACGGGAAACCCAAAAAGATCCGAAAGCCCAGAACCATTTACTCCAGCTACCAGCTGGCGGCCCTGCAGCGGCGGTTCCAAAAGGCGCAGTACCTGGCGTTGCCGGAACGAGCAGAGCTGGCAGCCCAGCTGGGGCTGACTCAGACCCAGGTAACTTCCAAAAGCACAAAAAAAAACCCTGGTTCCCTGGCCCTCTGTGCGGGGGCGGGGGGAGGGGGGAGCTGTTGCCAGGCAGGGGCCCACTGAGGAGGAGACGCTGTCTGAGACGGGGCAGCAGCAAGGGGGGTTTGCTCCAGGCTTTCCGGACACGTTGCCTGCTGCCGTGCTCAACCGCGGGGCAAACCCAGAGAGGCCTGAGCCTCTGGGCTGCCCAGCGTCCACCAGTGAAATGAGGGTTACTCCTGATTTGCACCAGCCATTCCCACAGGGCCCAGCTCAATGAAAACGGACCGGCTTTGTGTCCCGGTACGGGAGATGTCTCCCTCTCCCCAAAGAGGATCAGCTTTGCCAGCTTTCAGGCCCGACCCACAGCCCTAGAGCCTTGGTCACTGGGCAGTGCCCCTCCCTCTCGCTCTTCTCACCGCAAGAATGAGGGTTACTCCTGATTTGCACCAGCCATTCCCACAGGGCCCAGCTCAATGAAAACGGACCGGCTTTGTGTCCCGGTACGGGAGATGTCTCCCTCTCCCCAAAGAGGATCAGCTTTGCCAGCTTTCAGGCCCGACCCACAGCCCTAGAGCCTTGGTCACTGGGCAGTGCCCCTCCCTCTCGCTCTTCTCACCGCAAGCACGGGGCTGCCAGGCTGGGGTGGCCAGACAGCCTAGGCCTTAACCTCTGTGGCCCCCGCGACGTTCCGAACGGGAGGGTAGAAATCTCCGTGCTCGTCGGAGGACCCCTGGGAGCTACACACCACTGGCCTCGCTGACCTAGAAAACCAGGACCCCCCCCC